CACCGGCATGTCATTGTGCAACAAAGTCGTCAGCATTTTATTTGTCCTTTGAACGGGTGAAACGTTTTGAATGGCACTGGAATCGATGAATTTTACACTTAACCAAGCTATCTTCTCAGATAGATCTAGCATTATTTACCCGCCATTTCATCTTAAAACCGGAAGTGCGACTTTGTAAATTTGAAATCTCGATCCCGACTCAAATTTGACATCGGATAGAAAAAATTGTTTTATTTTTTCTGAAAATTCTAAACCTTGAGCGGAGGGTTTATAAAACTGAAAATAAAATAAATCCTGGCCTTAAGTATGTAATTAGATCATTAGCATATTAACCAGGAGCAAAGGATAAGATGTTCAAAGAATTCATGCATTTCACTATATAATCATTAGAGCCCCACCCTAAAACAAGAACCCTTGACCCTGGGGCCATAAAATTCACAATTTTGGTAGAGGCAATCTTGCTCATCATAACTATGTACTTAGTTAGTTTATTTAATACCCAGGAGCAGAGAAGAAGATTTTCAAAGAAATAATGTATTTTCACTATATAATCAATAGAGCCTCGCCCTAACACCAGAACCCTTGACCATGGGGCCATAAAATTCACAATTTTGGTAGAGGCACTCTTGCTCATCATAACTATGTACTTAGTTGGTTTATTTAATACCCAGAAGCAGAGAAGAAGATTTTCAAAGAAATAATGCATTTTCACTACCTACTTATTTAGCCCCGCCCTAACACTAGAACCCCTGACCCCAGGGCCATGAATTTCACAATTTTGGTAGAGTACTCATTGCTGATTACAATCATGCAAACAGATTGACTGCTTGATGTCCAGGAGTAAAGAAGAAGATTTTTAAAGATTGCATTAATTTTAGTGGTTTTGGCCCCACCCCTCAGGCCCCAGGGGGGCAGGGATCATGAAATTCACAATTTTTGTTCCCCTTCACCCATACATGCTTTGTGCCAAATATGGTTAAAATTGGTTCAGTGGTTTCAGAGAAGAAGCTGAAAATGTTCAAATGTTAACACACGACGGACGACGACGGACGAAAACAGATAGCAATAGGTCACCTGAGTTTACTCAGGTGACCTAAAAACATAATGCCCATGGATCCCAATGCTCACCTGACCAAATCATCACTCTTCCTGAAGAATGAATATATAGGAATATGTATCATTTGATTGTAAATATCCACTGATTTACCTATTTTACAAATTAGAAAACAGCAAGTTTATTTTCTAATGAGCTCTATGGATGACCATTGTATAGCCACTAACCAAAAGGTTAGGGGTCATATAAAATGTTAATTTAGAATACTATTACTATAATGCAGTATCTCTTTATGTCAAAATCAAATCATGACAGCATGGAGATCTACCAGATGGCTTGGCTATCACATTATTGTTAATCCCTTTGAAGTTTAATTAGTTAATATAGCGTGAGAGTTAGCTACAGTGTGTTAGCTCTAGTTAGGACATGCAGCTAGCAGACCCAGTCATAGATGTGTATACATAATGTACTTCTGTAATAAAGACTGGAAATGACATTCCTACTTATGTCTTAATCCTTCAAGGTTTTATGTCAAGGACAGTAACCAACTCTAATGGTTACCGCGTGACCATGTGTTGTAGGGTGCACTACTTATTTCGGGTGGACCCCTACCCTCCCCGACGGCCGGTCACAACTGTATTACATCATAACCATAATTGGCATCAAAAGTATATTGTTAACTGTTTTAAAATGACAGTTGAATGGAATAACAGGTTTTTTTAGGTCTAAAGTAGGAGTGAAACGGTTCACCGTGGTATCGATTCACCACGGTATTTTTTCTCGGTTCGATACACAGTACATGTACAAAATCTCTATTTTTAGTTCCTTTTTCGGTCGGGATCGTCATTCAGTCGGGTTCAGCATTAAGGAATGAACATGCTCCTTCGTATAATTATAGTTCAAAAACGTAAATTTTTGTGGACTTAAAGTTATGTAAAATAATTTTTAACAGTCAAATCAATCAAATTGATTTCTTCTATCCATTTTGCACATATATTATTTGACTAGATTATTTAAGTAAAAGGAAGCATAAAACAACACCAGAATTTGTTTCCTTCTATCAAAATGCATCGTATCGAAAATAACCAACCGAGACCAAATTTTACAATATGTATCAAACCATGAAGGAGGTATATCGTTTCACCCCTAGTCTAAAACTAGAGGTACTGTGAGCACTGAGCTTACTAAATGATACCCCCATCTCCTATACATGATTATAATTGCTATACGTCCATCATGTCCATGTTTTACTTTGGGAGACCCAAAATAAGTGTCAGAACATAAAATTAAGTTAAACAGGAGGTACACAATATGGCTGTGTATGGAATACAAAATTTTGATACCATATGAAACAGTATTTTATCACATGTTTACCACTTTTTCCCATAGATATGACTCATTGGATATTTTTTTGATATAATATCCAGCAGTCTAGTGCAGTTGACTTGAGATGACAGAATGGTTTTTGCGTTAGCATGATGAAGTAAAATAAAGTGGACTCCTATATAAAAACAGTGTAAAAATTTGGTTGTGAAGTATTAAACATGGGATAAAAAGAATCTCCCATGATTTGTAATTGGATACATGACTTATCCAACTCGTTATGTGTTTTTATCCCCTTCCCAAGGCTTAGTGATTAAAAAACACACAACTTATTGGATTAAAATCATATCCAACTCAAATCTTGGAGTCTTTAAGAAGTCTATCAAAAAGTCTTGTATAAATTAGTTAATGTATAAATTTTATAACAAAAACTGATTGTTTTATAATCCATTTCATAATTTATGTCTTATGGTCAAAATGTCTTTAAAATTCAAACTTTTAACATCTATACAACATGTTGAGAGAAAGTTGTTTATATACTATGTATATACAAATTATCTGTATATACTATACATCCTTGAATATATCGATATGTATCAATAAACTAGAGGTACTGTGAGCAATGAGCTCACTAAATGATACCATAATGTCCATGTGTTGCTATATATATTGTTTTACGGTAATGTGTAAAGAGGAGTAACTCGTCCTATCAAATGTTATCCAGAAGCTTCTATATGTGACGTCATAGGTTAACATATAATGGCAATGTCCATGTTTTGCTATGGGAAACCTAAAATATGTGTCGAATAAAAAAGTAAATTAGGAGGTGCATAATGGCAAAATGTTATAAAGATTCCGTGAAAGTTTCATTAAATTTCACTCAGTAGTATAGGAGGAGTTGCGGAAAAGAGATAAAGTGTAACAGATGGACGGATGGATGGAAATCCTGATTACTATATACCCTCCCACTTTTCAAGCAGGGGGTATAATAAATATATTGATATACAAGTATTGCCACAGCCCTGCAATATGGCACTATGTAACAAACTTTCTGTGAAACTGTCTTATTAAATTTCATTCAGTGGTAATTATGAGAAGTTGCAGATACAAAATGCATCGGTACCCAAAAGCATAACAGATAGACAGAAATCCCAATCACTATAATATATATACCCTCCCACTTTTCAAGCTAGGGGTATCAAAAGCAACATTTTGTTGAAATTGGGAAAAAATATCACGATATTCATTTATTTTCATAACCATGTTATGGTTATATGTTTTGAGTATTTAACAAAAGACTTAACAAATGTACAGGTAAAGATGAAGATTTTCATATAAATAATGTCTTTTCACCCCTAATTTCACAATGTTGTAAAGGACTCATGATCATTGTTTGTTGTAAGGCCAAAAGAAAAAATACTCTTGTTTCCTGTCCCCTGACCCCAAAAAATAGGGAAGGTAGGTATAGGTAGGGAAAATATTTTATTTTGAGAAAAAATTTTATTTTCAAAATTCAATGGATGCAGGACATATAGCATATAATAAAAAATAAAACAGTATGTTAACAGTTTACAAAGCAGATTTGTTAATAAAGATTTATAAAGTAAAGGTATCCTGTACACCTGTGATGTAATAGTTCTATAAATATTGTTAGTCGACTTTAGTATTTCAGGAAAATAGCCCTCCAAAATGAAAATGTAATAAAAACTTTTAGGGTCGGAGGGTAAAATGTAGGGTAGGTCGGGTGACAGGAAACAATAGTATATTTTATTTTGGCCTAATCATGTCAATAATTTTATTACTTGTCAAGGAGTAGAGAAAAAGATTTCTCTAAATTAATTACAATATTTTTTATGGTTTTGGCCCCACCCATCAGCATGATCATCAGGCCCTTGGGTGGCATTGGACCGTAAAATTTAGTTAATTTAAAAAGTTTGATATATCCCCTTTTAGTCTCCTGATAGATGCTCTATATATTACCAAATTTGGTTGAAATTGATCAAGTGGTTTATTAGAAGGACCTCAAAATGTCCAAAAGTGTACATTTTACCATCAAATGATGTACGAAGGATGTTTCTGTAAAAGTTTTCTTTATACACATGATATATCAGATAAATGGCACTGTGAATTCATGACCGTCACATCACAGTGCATTCACCATGTTGACTATAGCCATAAAATTCATCATTTTTAATAGACACACTGTCACTAAGAGTCTATGATGCTATTTTATAATGCATAATTGTCGGTTAAAACTATAAGCAAGAGTTTCACTTTTTCAGAAATTCACAGGACCACTGGAACCTGTATACTAATACAGGACCAAAACGGGCCCTAATTGAAACCAGTTCTTTACAAATTTACAAAATGTGAGAATCATTGATTCAGTCGAATATAATTCCCTAACCTTCCTCAAAGCATATTTCTGGTAAGAAGCGTGAAGAGATTACTTGAATAATTATCCATTTTATCGTATTAAACAAACACGTTTTTTCCCAATACATGTACTGCGATAAATCTACTTTCGCTTTACAAAAAAGAAAGAAATATTGGATATACACACTATCAACATGATCAAGAAAAAAATGAAGATATTCATCATTAAACTGTACAGTAAAATTACCTCCATCGCATGTCCAATCCTTTTTTGTGTGTCGTCTGTCTTTCTTGAATTATTTACTTCCTGATTTTCATTCTTTTGTGTATTACGTTTCCATTGAAATACTAAAGAGGGTGTAGGGTGGTTTCGCTCCCATTACGTGTTCGCGGCGAGTGTGATCGCGCCGAGTGGTTTCGCCCCATTTATTTACATGTAAGACATGGGTAGTATACACAGTGGCGGATTTAGAGGGGGGCCTTTGTGATCACAAAGAAAAAAAAAGAAGAACTAATTATGAAAAAATGAGATAAAATTAGACACTAGGTGTGCTAAAAATGTTGAATTCAAAGTCGTGAATGAAATATACACTACATATCATTATGGCTGGGGTTCAATTGTTTCATTATACCCCCCGCTTGAAAAGCGGGAGGGTATATAGTAATCGTTAATTCCGTCCGTCCGTCTGTACGTCCGTCCGTCCGTCTGTCCGTCCGTCCGTCCGTCCGTCTGTTACGCTCTGGGGTACCCATCTCTTATCCGCAACTCCTCTCATACCACTGAATGAAATTTGATGAAACTTTCACAGAATCTTTATTTATTACATATTGCCATTGTGCACCTCCTATTTTACTTTTTGATCCGACACATATTTTTGGTTTCCCGGCCACAGGAAAACATGGACTTTTTCACCAGTTATAACCATATGGGAGGCGGGGGGTATCATTTAGTGAGCTCATCGCTCACAGTGCCTCTAGTTTCATTATAGAATGTGTTGTTAGTTTCTAACTGTTGACAGTTCTTTCCTGTAACGTGTTTCAGGATATCAATTAATGCCATTTACCCATGCGTACATGCGGGTTATCAAATTTATGACTTAGATCTCAGTGATGTGTTTCTTTTAATGTTACACTTAGCTCTCCCTAATTTCACTCCTGTAAATTAATGATTGTATGGGTTTTCCCTATTGTATTAACTACACCTCTCTATTCAGCCGTGATTGTGTATAGTGAGTTCAGTTAACTCAATTTATAATATTTTCCGAAGTTTAACTTCAAAATGAACCATTCGATCTATGAAAGTTCATTGAAGGAAATTGAGAGTAAACTCTCAAACTCTTGTAAAGAAACTCGAAAAAAAACTTTATGAGGACAACCTTGCCCGTGCACTGCTGCCTGGGGATATTAAGGAAATACTAGGGGAGGATATGGTGTGCTTGACCCCATGACAACTGGGAACGGGAATTGCCTTTTTAATGCAATTTCACTTGCGTTGACAGGTAATGAATCAATACATATTTCTCTTAGACTCGTTTTCGACAATGAAATCTAGATATTCTCTGATATATCTGTTAACAATTATTGGATCTTAAAAAATGTTTAAAGCTTTTGATATATGCAACAAAATTTAGATATCTCAACTTTTGCGTCGGGCAGTCTGTAATTAGATAACTTGAAATTGAAGACAAGACAAGACAAGACTTTATTCTCATAAACTGTACAAAACAGTATAGAGAGGATATTACATAAAATATTTACAATTAATTAACTAAGCATGCGTGAGACAAAGAAAAAAAGAAAGAAAAAAAATGACAATGTCACAGACCAAGAGAGCCGACTCTCTCCATTATAGTTCCAATAAATTTACATAACTTAATTAATTTTTCCCTGCTGTTCAAATTAAATAGTTGGTCAAACTTAAAAACATTAGGATTTGCATAATAATACTTGGGCAATAGATTTAATCTAGAATTCTTAATGTATGGGTCAGTGCATTTAAATAAATAATGAAATTCATCTATTTCCTTGCATAAACACAAGTGACAAGTGAAAGACCGTAAGTTTGTTCAAATATTTTTAATTAATATGTTATTAACAATTTTATTTCAAAATGAATGATTCAAGTATCGGGTACAAGTATTACAAATAGCAATAAAAATTGAAATTATCATATGTATATAATAAATAATTTTTTTTTTAATTTCCCCTTTATATTGAGAGCTCGCTTATCCTTTGAGACTAGTCTTTAAAGATTTATTATATAGTAATACAATTATTTAAAATATTATCATAATGGTATAATTTATCAAATAATTTTGATGATTTTATTCGATCAGTATTATGTTAAACATATTCATGCTCTATATCGGCATATATATCTTGTTTTCAGGTGATGAATCCCTAAGCAAAACGTTACGAGTAGCAATAGCATGCGAACTGCATTTGTATTCAGAATTTTATGCCAATCATCCAAAACTCACTGAAAGTTCCAAGCATCGCGAAATAATGACGCAAGATCAGAATACACTATTTTCATTTACACTCTCTGATGAGGCTGATAAATTATTTAATGACACAAGATGTAAGAAGTCTGCGGTTCAAGAGGAAGCAAACAGAACCTTAAAAGAGGGATGTTGGTCAGGTTTGCAACAAATATTTGCAGTTAGCTCTGTATTACGAAAACGCATTTTTGCAGACTATCCTGAGTGCAATTTCGGTATTAGACCTCTTATGCATGGCTTGATAAACCCAAGAGAAGAATGCCTAGATTCTGATATTATTAGTATTCTTTGGTCAAGAGATGGGAATTTGGACAATACACCAAATGTAGTTTTTCAGCCAAATCACTTTGTCCTCTTGGATATTAAAGATTCGGGATGGACCATAGCTGGAAAACAAAAACGCAAGTTCAATGACGATCATTTAACTGAGCCATCATCTTCACCCAAAAAGAAAGTTTTCCAGCCAAAAATAAGTGATTTGTTTAAATCTCGACCGTCACCGAAAACAATCTCAGATAACATTGAAACAGATGATCCAGCTCCATGTGGCCTGGTAAACGAAAAGGAAATCCCAAAGACTTTTGTGCCTTCACAGTCGATACCTGAGGATATTCCACTCACAGATACCATTTCTTTTGGTGTTAAACCATTAGAAACCATGAATGATGAAATAAAAAACACCATAATAGCAAACCGAGTCTCCCGGAGAATTATAAATTCCCATCGAAAAAATATGTCGACAAAAAAAAGAAAAGTGGATTTCGATTGAGATCTTGTAGCATCAATGGTTTCAGCAATTTGATTTCATTTCATACTCAACAATAGATGATGGCGTCTACTGTTTAGCTTGCGTTTTCTTCCCAAAAGAAGGCTTGCGATCTAAGCAGTTAATTACTGAACCATATCGTAACTGAAAGGATGCTGTGGCAGATTTGAAGAATCATTCTCAATGTCACTATCACAAATCGTCTGCAGATGTAATGCGTCATTATCTTCAAACTTACAAAAATTCATCGTGTCGAATTGACAATATTTTAGACACCAAATTGCAAATTCAGGTTGCAAAAAATCGAAAAATCTTAACTTCTATCCTCAAGTGTGTCGAATTCTGTGGTCGGCAGGGTATTCCACTACGTTCCCATCGTGACGATGATACATGTGACGACAATACAAATTTGGGGAATTTGAAAGAACTATTGAAGCTTTGTTGTCACTTAGGAGAAGATGAACTTAAGGATCATCTTCAATCATGTGCGAAGAATGCCAAATATTCATCTAAAACTACACAAAATGAACTCTTGGATTCAGTAAAAATATATTTGCAGCGTGAGATCGTCAATAGAGTGAAACATCAAAAGTACAATGACTTTTTTGGAATTCAAGCTGACGAAGTTTCTGATGTGTCTAATAAAGAGCAGTTAGGATTGGTGATAAGATATCTTGAAGATGATGTACCTGTGGAAAGATTTGTTGAATATGTCGTATGTGAAAGTGTGACTGGTGAGGCATTGTCTGAACAAATTATTAAAACTATCAGCTCTTTAGGTTTAGATATGAACAAATGTCGTTCACAGTCATATGATGGTGCTGGGAATATGGCTGGAGCAAACAAAGGATGCGCCAGCAGGATAAAACGTTTGTTTCCAAGAGCAGAATATTATTATTGCATGAATCATGATCTGAACCTGGCTGTTGCAAAATCTTGTAGAATACCAGAAATACAGATCATGTTAGATACGTGCAAACAAATCGGATTATTTTTCAAATTTTCACCAAAGAGACAACATGCATTTCAAGCATCTGTTGATAATGTGAATGCAACAAGTAAGGAAGATGGAGAAAAGATAAAATCAAAATCAATAAAAACACTTTGTGAGACTCGATGGATTGAAAGGCACACAACTGTTCAAAACATCGCACATGCATACGAAGCCCTGACTGATTGTTTAACAAATATTGTTTATGGGAAAAATGGCTGGGATGTAAAGAGTATCACAGAGTCTAATGGGCTACTATCAAGTCTTTGTAGTTCGAAGTGGATTGTTGCGATACATGTATATCTGAAGTTTTCGGGATACCTCAAATCATTGAGTGGACTTCTTCAAGGACCAACACAAGACATTATATCTGCATTTCAGAAAGTCAACATTGTCATACAAGAGCTGGAGCAAATAAGAAGAGACAGTGACCATTCATTTAATGAAGTGTGGGATGAGTCAGAGATTATGGCTAAGAAAGTATCTACAACCTTAGCAGTCCCAAGAATGTGCAACAGACAAACATCAAGAAATAATGTTTCAGCAGATACCCCAGAACAGTACTTTTGTAGATCAGTCTTTATCCCTTACCTTGACCATCTGCTGTCTGAACTGAAATCTCGTTTTTCAACAGCAAATGCAATAACATCAAAGGCTCTTAGTTTAATACCTTCAAACTTGCATTTACTTGATGATCAGCAAGTACGTTCAATTGTAGATCATTTTGAAAATGATCTGCCATGCAAAGAACAATTTTTCAGTGAAATTCAGTTATGGAAAAGGGAATGGTCCAACCCAGAGTTGTCTATGTCACTGCCTGACAATCTCAGATCTACTATTCAACAAACCAACTCCAAATTCTACCCAAACATTTCTACAATTCTGAGACTTCTCCTTCTAATGCCAGTATCAGCTGCCTCTGTGGAAAGAAGTCATTCACACTTGAAGGATGTGAAAACCAAAAAACGATGTGTTATGTCAGAAGATCGCCTTAATTCATTGATGTTGTTATATATCCATCGTGATTTGCAACTTGATTACGATAAAATTATTGACATCTTTGCATCAAAACATCCTAGACGACTTCAACTGGCATACCCACTTTCTTGATGTTCATACATAGTTGCTTTTCTTGTTTGACAATACATGCAAATAATCATTTTTTGTTAGTTTTTATTTGTGTTATAATGTGAAAAATATAGCTGGAATAGCTAAAAAAAAAATGTCTTTAAAAACTAGCAAAACCCAGGAGCTTCCAGGGGCTTCGCCCCCTGGGCCCCCACCAGGGCTTCGCCCTGGTCCCACTGGGGGCCTTAAGGCGGCCCCCAGACACCCGGCCTTCTGGGCCCCCCCTTTCACCAAATCCTGGGATCCGCCACTGATACAGAATCGATTAGAGTGGCTTCCCCCCGATTACTCGTAATTATAACTTAGGTAGCTTGTGATTAATTAACCCCAAGCGTTAATGGCGTTTTATGTTGGATAATTATCCCAATTTGTTTAAATACTTAGAGTGAGACCATTTTTAGCCAAATTATGATCGACTATTTGAACAAATTTGATCGTCTAATTTGGAATAATTTAGGACTGGATGTTAATGTTGATTTTTCAATGAAGGTTGTCATTACTTTACAGTTTTCCCGCAATGAAGACGGTACGAAATCGTACTCAAAATATTATTCATTGACAGCTAAGAAATAATGCTAGTAGTTTAAATGGTGATTTACTGAAAGATTATATTAGTGATGGTTCAAAATGTGAAAACTGTGATTTTCATAGGGAAAATGCATATCATTTTTTCTTTGAATGCCCATGGTTATGTTGAGCAAAGAAACACTCTTTTAAATTGTATATCTAGTATAGACCTGCAACATCCTATTCCTACATCCCTAAATCTGTTATTATTCGGTGATAGTAATATTTCTTATGCAAAAAATACGAAACTATTTGATTTTGTTCACAGATATATATCACAAACCAAAAGGTTTCATAAATGAAGTGTAACTATGAAATATTTATTCTAGTTCTTGCCTAAATCAAATACACATTCATTGTATGATTATAAATTGCTGTAGTTCTCTTTTTTTCTCTCGATTTTTTCCTTTCATTTCCACATTTATAAACCGGTATTCATTTGTCGTTGTTTTTTTTTTTCTTTCTTTTTCACTCTTCACTCATGTATTTTTCTTTCCCCTATAATCCATTCAAATTTGTGTTAGCTATATATAACTTATTGGTCATATATAAACCTGTTGCTATATGTGTATTAATTAACCTGGAGAGGGCTTATATAGGCTATGCCTGCTGCCCAATCCGTTTAATGTATTTACATAATAAAATATGTTCAAATCAAAATCATTAATGATACAAATACAAAGCTATTTAAACGGCTATGACTTGTTCTCATGTGAATAAAACATAAGCGAACATATATTTTCGGTAAGGGTGGTTATATAGGGAGTATGCAGGAGCCCCCCCCCCCCCCCCCCCCGTCGATCATTATATCGTTTTTCATGGCAACTAAAATAGATAAAAAAAACATTTCAAATTGATACGACTGGTAAGGTTTATTTACATTTTAAAATTCTGCTTCTCTCTTGTATTTGGCTAGAACTTAATTAAATGCAAACAAGTAATAATCTGTATCATTTTATCAGTGAATCATATAATAAAATTATTATTGCTGTTTTTTTTTCGGTCAATACAATGATTTAGCTATCTGAGGAGTACAATATTCACCGAGCCCAAAGGGCGAGGTGAATATTATACTCCCCAGAGGGCTAAATCATTGTATTGACCTAAAAAACAGCCATAATTGTATAGTATTGACCTAAAAAAAACAGCATATATATATCTAACTCCGAATTACACTCCCCTCAGAAACGCACTCATTAATTCATGGTCGGAAACCCACGGGTGATCTCGTCTTTCCAGGGGCGTAGCAACCGGGGGGGGGGGGGCCTGCCCCCCCCCCCACTTTTTTTCCCAACCTTACTCATACTATAGGAAATGTTAATAGAAAGCATGGTTGCCCCCCCCCCCCACTTTTAGTGATGTACCGGAAATTGGTATTGAAAGTAGTTGACACTGAAAAAAAGTTAACATCCCCCCCACAAATCACAAAATTTTACCAAAATCAATAATATAATAATTAACTTACGACTTTTCAACTTTTGCAGTTATTTCCCACGATAAATTAAAGTCCAGGCTTTCTGATATCATTGACGGAGCCCTGCTTTTTCAATAAAAATGGAACTCTTAAATTTACTTATAACTTGTCATTAATGGTCATTTGCAAAATTCTGATTGTACACACTCTGAAGTTGATATTAAAAAAATGCTCGAGTTTCTGATTGACAATGTCTATATATTTATGTGGTTTTGGAGACCAGGGTCCTCCAACAATTAATCTATTTGAATCCCCACGGGTACCAATATAGCGTCCCGTTATTAGCAGATCTATTTTTGTATTTATATGAAGCAGAATTTTTTCAAAATCTTTAGTGACAAAAAAAAACCCCACTTGCTGAGGGCTTCAACTCGACATTTAGATACATCGACGACTTACATGTATTGCGTGGTGGAGTGGTTAGAGCGTCTGCTCAAGAGTTGCGAAGTAAGGAGTTGATTCTAACGTTGCGGGTTCGAATCCCACTGTGGGAAGCGGAGGCCGTCCTTCAGACGAGACCATGTAAACCGAGGTCCCGTGTCGCAGTAGGTGCTGGTACGAAAAAGATCCCTCTCTGCTCAATAATTATATGGACAACATTTGCAGCTCTCCATCGACAAATGGTGGCGTCTCCATATAAGTGAAAAATTCTCTAGAGGGATGTTAAACAATATGTATACAATCAATCAATTAACAACCTTCATATAAATTAGTTGAATCTGATACGGACAAAATCGATAAACAATTGTATAAAAAAAAAACCAAGCCCTTCCCAACTCTCAATTTGCTTCCGACGCCATTAAGGTATACCTTTACTCACATGACTAAAAATTCCACTGATAAGAACGAAAAACCACCTATTGCACATTGTACACCTATGATTCTTGTGTTAATTTTCATTTTCGAATAACTAGGTCAATGACCTACTTTTCATGCTAGTGGCCCCTGAGTATTTCTCGGGAAATACCTCAATTTTTCACACTATGACCAATTTTTTCTTTGCTCACAAAATATTACAAGCAATAAAACTCTTTAAATAATGAAATATCATTGCATAGGAACAGTGTTGCTTCATATAAAGAAATGATTAGAGTTTGGGCCATAAACGTGATAATTATTACAGTCCGAATTTCCTCTGTCAAATTTATATTTTTGCCCCAGTTTTAATCGAAAAATTACAAAAATCTGACTGATAAGAACTCTAAATTATTTATAGCCTCAGGTTATTTTTGTTGCCCTAATTCTCATGATATTAATATTATATGGGGTCAATGACCAAATTATTGAGATATATGTTGTCTGGAATGGTTTTTGTACATATTTTTTAATTTCTTTATTTCATAGATTAAATTATTTGAAATAATTTCTAAGTTTTATCACATAAAATATTTGCAAAACGATGTCTAAAAATACATGCAACCTTTACTTTGTGATTAATATTGCAAGAAATAAAAATTTTCACAAAAATGAAAAAAATAAAAATTTAGTCCGAATTTCCTCTGCATTACCATACATTGACTTGTTCCTGTATATTTTCTTCAAATAATAAAATATTGAATTTTTGAATTAATACTGAGATAAAACATGGTAATTTTATCCATTTAGAACAATTTTTGATTTAACATATTATACTTTATAAAATTTCCTTTCTGATTTCTGAAACCTGAGTAAACGTCATCCTTAAATGATATCATACTTCATTAATACATTATGATTACCAAGGGACATATCTGCAGCAAAGAAGGGGGGGGGGTGTTGGGGCGGTGGAGAAATTTCGAATATAGGAATTGCATGATCACATGGGATTTTTCCCATTCAATCTAAAGAAATATAAAATTTTGTCTGATTTGTTATGGAATTTCTGCTTTACTTGCACTTCTTATAGATATTCAGTGAATCAGGTTTGAAGACGAATGTCTACGTTATCTTCAGAACTTTACCTGGAGTGTAAGTATACGAGTCCATGGGAGAGTAGAAACAAAACGAATGGAGACCGTTTAAGTATAATTGACCGGATTTTCATTTTGTCGATAAGTTTTATCTCTGCTCAAGTTATTAAGGTGAGATCATGAAGATTTGGTATTAAGGAGAAGAGAATAAGTATATTAACGGAGGCAGAAAATCGCCACATTAGACATTTCGAAAGCATTATGAGAAGTGAGGGGAAACCCAGTAACAAGCATCCCGCCATTTCATTCGTTGATGATGGTTTCAAAGGATGGTGACCATTATACAATATTAGCTATTTTATGAGTGTTGATATTGTCTTCTCGAAAAAAAAGAAAGTATAACAGGTAAAGGCTTTCTTTGAGAAAATGTCATTGTCATCTGAAAATATTCAGTTGAACAAATTTCAATCAGACAAAGTGAAAGTAGAAGTAGGTTTTTGTAATACATATGTACACATATGATCAGTCTAGTGGAACCCTCAAACGGGGGTATACCCCCAAACGAGGGTTTTTCTTCCCTTAATGCAACGCGCGAAAGTCAAGAACGATAACTCTTCTTATTTAAAATATATAAAGTACCAATGCACTGTCCCGTGGTATCTTTTGCAATTTAGTGGAATATAGCTACTCAGTATGTATGTGTGTGGACATGTATATATACGTGTATGTATGTATGTGTTGGTATGTATTAAAAAAAAAAAAATATATATATATATATATATATATATATATATTTTTCATTTCTGTGTATGTATATCTCTGGCTTTTTTGCATTATGGTACACGGTGGTACTTCTTTATATATTTTTAATTACAATATGTATTTAAAGTTCACATGTTAGCAATTATTTCAACTTATGAACCATGTGTAAATTATTAAGTATATACATGTACTAAGAACACATCACATCTTATTAATAACTATTATATGCTCTGTTTAATAATCATGTATGTAATATGCCCACAAGGGCCCTGATCTGGAATAAATCTATT